CGCGGAGGCTACGCGTTTGGCTCAGGCCGAGCGTCGGCGCAGCAGGGACGGTACCTTGTAGGGGTCCATAACCCGCAGATAGAGCACACCATCAATCTGCAGGGTGACGTTATCTGCCGGGAGAGAACAACGCGTCCTGTTTACTGAAGCAGCAAATGGCAACCTCCTCTCCCCCAACAGAGCTAGCAGGGCTGGGCAGGGTCATCCCTTTCCTTCCCGGACTCAGCAGCGTGGCACGGAAGAGGGATTGGCTGGAAAGGATCTCCTTATCTAAAAGGCTTTGTAAAAAGGACCTTGACCTTCCCTAGGAAAGAAACACTTTTTTTTGCTGTCTTAATACACAAGAAGTCTCAGGTTTCCAGACCAAAGCATTTCATGCTGTAGTTATCTTCACAAATAAAGATTTTTAAGGGGCAAAAAAAACCCAACACAAACCAAAAAGCTTAATACTAGAACCGTAACAAAGCCGTCCATTAACCTGGTCTGAAAAATTTTTTTATAGAAAGCCAGAGGAGACTTTTTTTGTGGCTCAACACAGGAAAACATCTGAAAAATGGATGCCTGCCCAGATGCGTTCAACCCAGCCAGAAGGGGCAGCCGCAGCCCCGAGAGGGCAGACGGGACCTCCTGGGGTTCTCCCGCTCACAGCGCCGGGAGTACGGCCAAGCCCGGGTTTTCGGGGACAGCGCTGAGTGCAGGAGCCCGGGACATTTCCACTCCTCCCCGCGCCGCCCCTCGCTCGCCCCGGACGCAGGGGAAGGAAAGGGGCAGGACGCTCCTTACCTAAGGTGACAGCTGACTGCTCTGGGACGTTAATGACGATTTCTTTGAGACTCTGCACGTAACGAATCCGATCCAGCAGAGGGATGAGGAAGTTCAAACCCTGGGAAAAGGGCGGGATCAGACGGCTGAGCCCTCTAACCTGGGGTTTCCCGCCCCCCGAGAGCTCAGCCGGACTAGAGAGAGCTGTGCCAACAAAGACCAAGTACGCTACACGCCGCAGATGCTGCAGGCAGAGCAAACGTGCTTTACGCAGGGGGGGAATTTAGGTTTCTTGGTGCTTTTAACACCTCACCAAGGGAAGTTAGTCCACAGGCAGTCAATTGGATTGCAATCCGCAAGAACAAGCACACCGCTCCCCGAATCCTCGCGCAAAGGACGCGCCTCACTACAGCTTTAGGAACCTGCTGAATCCAGAAGGGGAGAAAAGCGGCTCCTTACAGGCTCGAGGATTCGGTGGAACTTGCCCATCCTCTCCACCACCCAAGCCTCCTGCTGCGGCACGAAGAGCACCCCAATATTCATGGGCAGGCCGGAGTTCAGGCGGCACGGCGCCGGGGCCAGCCACGCTGAATGCTTCAGTTGCTGGGAGCGCTGGAGAAAGGAAGAGGAACGGGATGGAGACTGGC